AGTAGATACTGTTACTACAGTCAATACTTTTACTACAGTCGATACTGTTACTACAGTCACTACAGTTGATACTGTTACTACAGTAACTACAGCTACTGTTACTACAGTCACTATCGTCAATACTGTTACTACAGTCACTATCGTCAATACTGTTACTACAGTCACTACAGTTGATACTGTTGCTACAGTCACTCCAGTTGATACTGTTACTACAGTAGTTGCTTTGTACCATGTCACATTGTTACCATGGAAGTAGTACAGACAGAATCAAACTTGCTTCTCTTTTATAGCTATTTATGGGTGACCCAAAGCATTATTGACATGATTTATGTCACATTTTCATTTGCTTATGACCTTGACAAGGTTGTCCTCACTTGATGGCTGCTATACCTAAGTTTCATATTTCAAATTCACCACTGACATCTCTGCTACATCCGAGTGATAAATGTTAAACTTACTGATATCATCAGGGACAAGAACATAAATAGACACGATCAGTAATCAGAGTTTATATCATATAATTCTGTTAAACAGAAGAGATGCATTCTGTATTTATAAGGCCCCTGACACTTATGCTGGTCTGGCAACTAACGTATTGCTGCCTGTAGCAACAGGTTGATGACACGTTGCAGGCCTAGCATCATAAGTTATCAAGCATCAAGTGGGTCTAGATTTCATTCCAGTTCAACTTTCTTGGGTGCAACTTCCATTTCAAATCCATGGTGCTACAACGTAATAACATTGGGAAGTAACACCAACTCCATGACTTCGGGATGAAAGCAAATCTCCATGTCGATATAGTTTGCTTTCAATGATTAACTTAGGTGTTTAAATGGATTGTTTTGTTATGCCTTGAGGTGCTTACTTCATCAGCTATATGGGGGTGGTAGGTTAGCCTAGTGGTTAAAGCGTTCGCTTATCACACCAAAGACCCGGGTTCAATTCCCCACATGGGTACAATGTGGTGTCTCCTGGGGGGATATTGCTGGAATATTGCTAAAAGTGGCGTACAACTGAACTCACTCACTCATTAGCTAATGAAAGTAGACAAATACAGCTTCAATGCTCATATATCCAGCCCCATGTCTGTAACAAATGTAAACATTCCAGCCTGAGGTAAATAATTCCTAATGGCCTTAACTATTGTTATGACTTTGTGGAAGTGACTTGTATTTCATTGATGTCACTTTTAGGTCTAATGAAGATGAATAGGCTTTAAAGGGAAGCAAAACTCCTTTCACTCCCCTAACCATTTTAATCACCCCATGTAATCACCGGATGCCAATTAGTGTCAGCTACCCAATAAACTGAGTTTCAGACCAGCAAGGGAGTACCTGGTTGGAAGCCAGTGAATTCCCTTGAATTCTCATATTTGAGTGGATTACACTAACATAAACCTATCACATGGCAAATTTGTATATATGTGTAAATGTGTATGTACAGTTGTTACATCTGACCACTTTCTATATGGCATTGTGTATTCATAGGAATTATGTGTACATATTATTTTTGCAGCAATGAAGTCTACTTAATTATAATGTACACAAAACAGCAACAATTCTCACTGTTTCAGGCACATTGCATACAATACGCCAATCACTACTCCTTTTTTATCATCCCTTATTTATGACAACCGCCTCCATGGTGTCGTGGTTAGAGCGTCCGCCGGAGATGCGGTTCGATCCCGGACCGCATCATACCAAAAGACGTTGAAATATGGTACTTGTTGGTCCCTGCTCGGCATTAATGGGTACAACAAGGACTGGTCGGCTCGGAGTCAGTATAATGTGTCTGAGTGGGGTATTCATGCTTCACTGCGGCATGGTATCTCAGTGGGCTAGCACTATAAAACCAGCTTCAGTCTGGGCTAGTACAAGCAGCCACACATACACATACACATACACATACACATACACATACATACACACGCATGCACGTCGTCATATGAGCGAAATATTCTCAAGCACAACATAAAACCCAATTTCACCTCACCTCACCTTATTTATGACATAAAGCCCTACACTTGTGTATTTGACTTCCTTCACTTGATGCTCAAATTATGATTTTAGGGACCATTCATAATTTATGGCTAGGGGGGTGATGATGATGATATTAAGGGGGGTCACCCATTTTGTTCTGGGGAGGTAGGGGGTCATCAATTTTGTACACATGTACTAGCAGGGGTCAGCTATTTTGCGCATGAAAATATTAAAAAATTATGCTTAAAAATTTAGGAAGGGGTGGAAAAAATCATCATATCACAAGCACACATGCACGTACACACGCACACACGCACCTCCTCTTGCCATAAATTATGAACGGTCCCTTATTACAAATATTTATTGGTGGTGACAGCTATCAGATTTACTAGACTATGCAAAAGAACTAGATAACTGGTTGGGCATTGTGGGTGAGCTGGCTAAGGCGCCAGGCTAGTGATCCAGTGAGCTTGAGGTGACGGGATCGAGCCCACCTGTGAACGGGTGTAAAAACCTTGGAGTCAACTTTGTGTGCAGACTCTTTCAGTGTTGTCACAACCCCTAGTGTGCAATACACAACCCTGTACATTTAGAAGAACCCACGAATCTCTTGGTATATGACCAGATGGTGGCCATATGAATACGCGCAAACACCTAGTTGCAGGTACAGCAACGTGCAGTAAACTTGGACAAAGTACTGTGACTATGTGTCCCAGTCCACCCAGCTGTGAATGGGTACCTCATAAGGATGAGAAAGCCACAATAACTTGGTGTGCCTAGTGGCTGCAAGAGTTTTATGCTCCCCGGGGAGTTGAGATTGATAATACGATGTGCCGTTGAGATTGTCATCCAGTGATCAAGGGGGAAGTCAGCGCCTTGAGCATGTACTAGATGCATGAATACATGCACCATATAAATATCCTTCAATAATAATCGTAATAATAACTGTCAGTGTTAAAACTGTAAGTTCCTTTAACACCAAGAAACCACTTTGAAGAAAAATTTAGCTGCACATCTTTAACTTCTACTTTCACAAACATTAATTGGCAGTGTAAATTCAACTTTGTCAGGTTCATTGAGTTGAATGGATCCTGTTTAACAAATAATAAATCCGGAGTAGATTCTCGAGACGGCACTTCCTGATGCACTTGCAGAACGAATGTAATATAGTGTCCTGATGACAGCTTGTTGTTGTAATAATGTCCTTGGAGGGCAATCATGATCTGTTATTGTAAATGTAGTCTGTCAGAGGCATGGTGAATACAGCAGCCATTGATATGGATGCGGGAACACTTATGGCTGGCGACATCATGTTTGCTTCCTCCTCAATCAAATTATGTTGAAGTTGTTGTGACCTGCACATAATCTTGTCTGCAGGGATGCACATTACTGAGTCGGTGAATAACGTTCAGCACCATGCCAGCAGTGCTTCAGCAGTGTCATAGGGACCTTCATGTCATAGGGACCTCCATGTACTAGGGACCTTCGTGTAATAGGGATCTTTGTGTACTAGGGATCTTCGTGTAATAGGGATCTACATGTCATATGGATCTACATGTAACAGGGACCTTCATGTAATAATAACAGGGATCTTCATGTGTAACAGGGATCTTAACAAGGACCTTCATGTAAGGGACCTTCATGTAATAGGGATCTTCATGTGTAATAGGGACCTTCATGTCATAGGGACCTTCATGTAATAGGGATCTTTTGTGTAATAGGGACCTTCATGTAACAGGGAGACCTCTTCATGTAATAGGGATCCATTAACATGTAATAGGGATCTTTATGTATCTTCATGTAACAGGGATCTTAACAGGGATCTTCATGTAATAGGGACCTTCATGTCATAGTGACTTCTCCATGTATTAGGGACCTTCATGTAATACATTAGGGATCTTCGTGTAATAGGGATCTGTGCAAACTACTGACTGAAACCATGAGCAACAATTTCTGCCATTGTAGAGCATCCTGAAATTTGCAGGAGTTATGTTATTTAAATATAATCATGCATTTTTAAATGTGCATAAAGGATATTATGAAGAAATATTTACAATTTCACAGAGGCCGAGATATAGAGTTTTGGAATTGTAATTATATTGTGTTAGGAATAAACATGGTATCAAGTGAGCCTTGCCTCTATATATCTTTTGTCATGTAATCAATTTAAATTGTCTCATTGAAAACTCAATTGTTATCAGTGAACATTATCTAAACATTGCAAGTTTTCCTGGTATGTGTGGAATGTCAGACAGTGACAACAGTCAATATAATTCTACCTTAAACCTGTTTCTGACACAATGTGGTGACTAAATATGGGCAGAATAATACCGGTAATAGCTAACACATATTGCTTTTGCTTGCTTTTTGTGGCAATCCATTCAGCCACCCTTAGAGTAACTTCCCTTTATCAAAGGGAAGCTACTCTAAACGTAGACTTTGAGACATGATGTTAAAATGTCAAGAAGTGCAAAGTCAGATGTACACACAGCAAAATATTGAAATGAAGTAGCAGTCCAGGCTTATTTCGTCCAATTCCAACCTGTTGTAATTAAGGATAACACCACACGCCACAGAGTCACAAGCACATGTTATTGATGACAATCATCCCAGTAGTTTCTCTACAAGTGCCTTTATTAATTCTGACTTGATTTGCTAATAGATGCCATGTTTGTTTGTAAACACTGAAAGTAGTACCTACCTGATCTTTCATATTTGCTTATTTATCCATATATGACCCCAACATATACCAATTTTGACGTGTTAAGTTTATTCTGTTGACACCCAACCGTTATGTGAAAATAACTTTTTTATTGTCATCATGGGTCAAAAAAAATTTCGGCTGGTCTGTACAAGAATGTTGAGACATTGTGGATTCTGTTGCCCCATGTGTTGTCTCAGATTATTGAAGAGGGGCTCTTCTAGACAGCACACACATAGTATTAGATTTATCCATACAGTACAATATTATATCATAGCTAATAGTGACACTGTTTCAGCTGAATGATGTTGATGTTGCAGCTGGGGGAGAGTGTGTTGAAGCTGTGCTTGCTGGAGTTATTTGTGTTCCGGTTCATGCAGACGGATCCCAACTGGTCCAACTTCTTCTACAACCCGGTAACAGACAAGGTCAGTACTGGGAAGTGGTCAGCATGTAGCATGATGTAAGGTCAGATTCACATAATATTGGCATGGGATGAAACTGGGCCCCATTCCTCAAAGCGATCATAGAGCTAAGATGATCGTAAGTCCCATACTTTAACATAGACTGTCGTAGCACTACGATCGCTTTGAGAAATGAGGTCCTGGGCCTAGATTTTCAAAGCTCTCTTAGTGCTCACGATAGCTTAACATTAAAATGAGGTAAAGAGTGCTTGAAAATGAGGTCCAGGTCTCTTAAGAACCACCTCTTAAAGACATCATAATGTATTGACATCAATATTGTCTTTAGAATAGCTGACTTGTGAAAGGAATGGGAAAGATTGTTAATGGACCCATGGATGATTGCGAATATCAGTCTTCTTTGATCATTTGGCCAATCATTGATAAGTGATAATATAGGTGTGTCAAATAGATACTGAGGCACATTTATTGAAGGCCATAGACTGCCACATGTCAGTCTAGGCACGAATTGAGTTCATAGCTAGAATGCGCATTTCCTTGTTTTGTTCACTAGGCTTGGTCATAGAGAGGATCTTCTTGAACAGATATGCAGTCAGACACTCTGACTTGCCACATTCAATATCATAGATCTGAAACAGTGCAAGTGTATTTATTCATGCAAGGGAAATTCCCAAAGGTTTCCCTTGGATTGTGGAAGTAGTCTCCTAGTGTTATCGTTGTTTCAAGAATTCAGTCCCGTGAATAGTGTGTGAACATCAAAATGTGTTGTTTATACACCAGTGACTGACAGTGTCCTGAACATGTCACTGACCATCCAACTGAAAAGTTGTATAAAATTATTATATTGTACATTACATTGCAAGTCAGACCTAAGTCAGACTTAGTTGGGCTGTATTTGATAGAAGAAACATCATAGGCACTCATATCATGGGCAATTTGTTCATTGTCCACATCAGTATGTTACAGTATTGGTGACTGTGATGTTAAACATTGTCCTGTGTCTCAGTTTAAGAGATCATGTATGTTTCAGCTTGTACTTCTGGACTTTGGAGCCAGCCGAGAGTTTGACAAGTCGTTTGTAGACAAGTACATCAAAGTGATAAAGGCTGCCTCGGTAGGAGATCGAGAAAAGATTCTTTCGGGCTCCATTGATATGGGCTTCCTCACAGGTTATGAGACGAAAGTAAGTCATACTCCTTATTGGGACAGAAACTAAGAATGAAGTTATTGAAATACTGCGTTTTGTTTTATTCATTGCACAAACTGTTCTTAAGTTGGACAATTCTACTCTGATTCCTGAAAAAACTCCCTCACAGCTTTGTGATCTTGTGCCTGAAAGTGTCCAGCTTTCAAATGCATGTGTGTCATACTAGAATGGAGATAAAGCTAGTCTGTTTTCATTTTTGCAGTCCTTACGCTTAGATCAGTAAATAAGGAATAGCTTTATCTCCTGATAGCTTTATCTCCTTATTCATAACAGGCAACAAGAGTTATCTCCCTTATTCTACAGATGACAGTGCATTTTTTCTACTCTTAGTAAGGCAACAGTAATTTTAAATGGTCCTGCAGATAGATTAGACAACCATTTCTTAAAAAATCACAAGCAGAAAATACTCTAAAAGTAAGATGTACTTTAAATATTTTTTTGTATACAGTTCTTAAAAATGTATTCATCAAATGCATTTTATATATAGTCTGTCCCCTGCAGACACTCAGTAAGGAGAGTTAAACACTTTAACATTACAGTGTACATGGTTCTGACAAATATCCATGCTTCTCTTGAAAAGCATCCTTTGCCAGTTACAACTCACAGATGCCTTTAACAGTTTCAATAATATATATATATGAAGAGGTGGAGTTCTGAAGTTCAGTAGTGTACGTTAGTACATATATTAAGAAATCCACAAAAATAATGATAAAACACAGATTTCCCGGATTTCTTTTGATTTTATATATAAAATGTTTCCTGTCTTTGAAAAATCTGGATTAAAATGTAATGATAAATGTTTTGTAACCTAAACACTTAATCCGTTCTATTTCCAGGTGATGATGGATGCTCACGTAGATGCTGTAACAGTTCTTGGTGAGGCGTTTGCAGTTTCAGAGATGTTTGATTTCTCCACCCAGAGCACCACCCACAGGATTCAGAACCTTGTGCCCGTGATGCTGAAGCACAGACTGACCCCACCCCCAGAGGAGACCTACTCCCTGCACAGGAAGATGTCAGGCGCCTTCCTCCTGTGTACAAAGCTAAGGTGTAAAGTCAGGTGTAAATCTCTGTTTGATCAGATCTGGAAGGACTATAACGTTTGGTGATGAGGACAGCTTGTTGTGATATCTCACTGGAGTGAGTGAGTGAGTGTGGTTGCACATCATCTTTAGCACTATTTCGACAAAATCATTGAAGGATCACCAGAAATGGTCTTCAGCTGATGAAGGACTGCTGGTGCTGGTGAAAGCCAACAATTGTCTTCACAAATTGTACCCGTGTGGGAACCCAGGTCTTTAGCATAACAAGTGAACACTGTAACAACTAGGCTACCTCACCAGCTCTCTGCCCAGAGAATGATGCTGTTTGAATATGTTGGAGCATTTTTGAGCCATGTGTTTTGATGCTGAGATAACGTGTTGTACTACTGTAGTGGGATCTGTGAAATATGGACACTGACCAATCCAGATCCCTGTTAATATACAGGCAAAGTTACTTTGTTGAATTAGTGAATCTGGCTAGTCTTGACTGTCATTTGAGAGATGTAACACTTGCTAGAACCAAACTTTCATGTCAGTTCCACGCAAATCTTCTTCGAAAGGTTCCATGGTAGTATGGGATACTTGTTTTGGTTTGTTTTGTTACCAATGATTGGTGAACACCATTATCAAAATGTTTTGAAATCTTTGATGACTCAATTTTTCTGACAGTAGATAATAATATGTATGTTTGAAGTGCAAACAAATGGGTCTGTTTATTCACAGAGGATGTTATATGTAATTGTGACTGACATTTTGTCATGGAGTACCTCATGTATGTAGAGTTGAATTGGGCTGCAGATCAGTGATCACCAGTGATCCCTGTTAATACACAGACAAGGTTACTTTGTTGAATGAGTGTATTGAATGTGGCAGGTCTTGACTGGCATTTGAGAGATGTAACTCTTGCAAGAACCAGACTGCAGATCAGTGATCACCAGATCAGTATTTGGTCCCAAGCTCACTGTTGCTTATCCTCAACTAGGACTACAATGTATACTGCAGGAGATGGTGAGAGTGGGGACTCCATTGATTGTGTGTTTACCTTGGTGTATCTGTATGTCAGCCACTGCTCCAGTAGCCCTGATTTACTGTGTACATGCCACTGTAACATGGCTGGTTATTGCTGGCTGCTGGAGAGACAACAAGCAGTATGGAGAAGCAATGGAGGCAGGGGATACTGGGAGAGTCATTAAATACCGGTAGTTAATGGTTTGATTATTAGAATAGTAATTTACAGTGTTTTGGGTGGTAACACTGATTCTACCATGACTTCATTAAATACTGGATTGTGATTGGTTAATTAAAGCCATTCAGATGTATATAATCACATTATATACCTCTGATTTTCCAACAAATCTTAATAACGCGGTTATGGTAGAATGGAGATAAACATACTGTGTTGGAAAATCAGAGGTGTGTAACGAAATTCTAATAGCTCTAAATTCTTTATTCAAATCATGCTACGTTTTCGGTTTTAAATCCAATTTAGAGCTATTATAATTTCGTTATATACCTCTGATTTTGCAACACAGTATGTTTATCTCCTAAATAATAATTTTGTCTTAGAATAACAGTATTGTACGATGTTTGTAACTTCTTTACCCTGTGGTTTAAAGAGGCTTGAAAATGTCTGCATGTTTTTGGAGGGTATCTTAATATGATTGTTGCCAAACATATATTATTTCTCAAAAGGGCATTGTGAATGCTGGCAGCTGTCTGATTTAAGTGTATGTATGTGTACATTATGTAGATAAGCACTGGATTAAACCATCAATAACTCCCACTTGTAAACAAAGTATTGTCCTCCTTAGCTTGCCATGTATTTCTGTTTGTATAATTGATTCTTTTGCTTAGCTGTTGTTAAAAGAACTGATTAAAAAAGGGTTTGGTATTCCAGTGTGTGACTATCTGAGTGTCTGTTGTGCTTCTGTTATGGTCTGGATTGTTGCTCTTGCATTCCACCACTTGTTTCACGACCAGGTTAATTACCCATTGTGATGAAGGTGTGATGTAGGTGTGATGTTGCTGTCCCCAACCAAGAAAAAGGCGTACTAACACGTTTGTAAATTTATGAAAACCATTGGAAATATTATTGGAGCTGGTACTGCCACACCATCTCCTTGTTCACTGAAATAAATACAAAGGACTGGTTGGATTGGAGTCAGTATACTGTGTCTGTATCTGTGTTGAAACTATATTAGTAACAACTCACTCACCAAGCAGGATCCGCAGCTTACAAGGTTGGTTTACAGGGGTCAATTCTAACCTTAATCCTTGCAGGATCTGAACTCAGTATTTTACGTACATTGGTACATCAAGAGCCTAACACCTTCATCTAGAGAGTTATCTGTGATTGACATGATGGTAAAGTCTCCTGGGATTCCGGGACAGAGCATTTCCTCAGTACCAAGTGATGTACCTAGTGATGTTCCTGGTGATGACTGCTTGTCGTAAGAGGCGACTAACAGGATCGGGTGGTCAGGCTCGCTGACTTGGTTGACACATGTCATCGGTTCCCAATTGCGCAGATCGATGCTCATGCTGTTGATCACTGGATTGTCTGGTCCAGACTTGATTATTTACATACCGTCTCCATATAGCTGGAATATTGCTGAGTGTAGGGTAAAACTCAACTCACTCACTCACTCCTAGTGATGACATCAAGGATCGCTCCACAAAGTATCAACAACTTCCACAAACAAACAATTAAAGAAATATAAAAATCAAAACCAAACCGGAACATTAGATTTGTATTGACTCAATGAAAAGTTTAGACATGCTGACCACAGTCACTGTTAGTTTCCTGCTAGTATATGATAGAAAACATTAAGTATCTGTTATCTGCCGAAACCGTTGATTCTCAGACTAATTAAAAAACAACATAATGCTCATTATCATAATATGTCCCTAAGTCGTGTTATAGGCCACTACTCACAAAAATAGTGATTCCAAAATACTCATCTGTTTTGAACAATGCATATGAATTCTAGGGATACACAACGTTGTTAACACTACGAGTTTGGCTGTTAACAGAAACATGTGAGGAGTCATCCCTACCCCCAAGAAATGATTGTTCCAATAAGTAATTCGATAAACACAAAGGCCTATGTTCTTTTTGGGTCTTCATAAATGTATTTTGTTTTACTCTGTGCTCATATGGTACTAGGAGGCGACTAACGGGATCGGGAGGTCAGGCTCGCTGACTTTGTTGACACATGTCATCGTATCCCAATTGCGTAGATCGATGCTCATGATGTTGATCACTGGATTGTCTGGTCCAGAGTCGGTTATTTACAGATCGCCGCCATATAGCTAGAATATTTCTGAGTGCGGCGTTAAGCAATAAACCAACCAACTCAATTGTGGAGATTGATGCTTATGTTGTTGATCACTGGATTGTCTTGTCTAGACTCGATTATTTACAGATCCCCGCCATATAGCTAGAATATTGCTGAGTGCGACGTTAAGCAATAAACAAACAAACTACTCCGCTTTCCGACATAGTCCATTACAATAACGGATGCAAGGCTTTCCAGATAAACATATGATCAACACGTGGCTGTATGTTACTTTGTACACCTTTAATACAGAAAATGGTACAAACTAAGATGAGTAAACATGTGAAAAAAACAAATAGGGAATGTTTACTGGGGACACTCTGGTGGTGGGATGAAACGGCTGGGGTCGTGGATGCCGATTGTGATGTCATAGAACCTGAAACACAAGAGAATATTCAATAATTTCATTTAGAAAAATAGCAAAATATAATGTCGTTGGAACATGGTCTCTTAAGAAGAACTGCTGAAAGCAGTGTACCATCTTCTTATTTTGTCTTGATTTTTAAGATTTTTACTTTTCTTCTTACAGTAGAGTTCAACATATGTGAATTATAGGGGTGGACTTGAAAATAATACTTCTGCCGTAAAATAATATACCAGCACTATTAGACCTACAGATAATCAGATGCAGGGCACTTATTTCGTTTAGGTCGGGTGGGTCCATAGTCTTACTAGAGGAAATACGGTACATATGAACGTGTTGACGTACGTGGTGCGGACAGCGCCGGTTCTGTTGCTGTAGAAGTCCATCTCGATGGGGAAGCAGTCGGGGCTGGTCACCACGAAGGCGTAGGGATCTGGAAATAATGGACGCCTGGTTATCTCCAACCTCCAGTTCTGTCATGGCATTACAGTTTAACAAGGGTATCATTGGATAGTATAGGCACCAAGCTCTGCTCGTTGAAGGAGACGTCAAAATTTGATCTGGTAGTTCGGGCCGTTTCATAAAGAGATAGTAGTCCTACATCTGTTTCAAGTCTCTCGTAAATTACGCCATATTCAATAGTCGTTTTGGAAAGTTTGGTGACTAAGATGATTGCGTGCCGTCGTACCCCGGTGCTCATGATGTCAACCACTGGTTTCTCTGACCCCTGCAAGTTGTCAACTGCTGCGTTCCTAAATCATGTAAGGATCGGCTGATCGCAAGTTCAAATCTTAGATTAGTGAATACCATATCCGGAATATAACTGAAATGTTGCTCCAATGATAACCATGGATGGAAAGCCAGTATAGTAGTATAAAGTACCATCTTGAAGAGATTACTGGCATCCATATGGCTAACAACCCGTGAAAATCCGGTTTAGAATTGATCTTCAGTAACCCAAAACTTGGCGTAAGAGGCGACTAACGGGATCGGGTGGTCAGGCTCGCTGACTTGTTTGACACTTCATCGTATCCCAGTTGCTTAGATCGATGCTCATGCTATGGGTCACTGGATTGTCTAGTCCAGACTCGTTTATTTACAGACACCCGCCAAATAGCTGGAATATTGCTGAGTGCGGCGTAAAAATAAACCCACTCACTCACTCACACATATGGCTAACAGACACGGACGATAAACTAACAATATTGGAGCGGGACCTATATATAATCAGTTATATCACGTCTTGTAAGCTTGATATTGGAGGAAAGACGAAGTGAGATGAAGGTAACCTCTTTGGTGACTCCCACGAGCACCTGAAAGAAGTGGACAAACCTAGAGACAAAACGAATTTGGGATTCGAACTCACAACTATCTGCGCAGCGTAGTGCGGCACTTGACTCCAGTGAGGCGTGGAGACACAGAGACAATGTATTGTGTTCATGAACACGGAACTTACTGGACTCAAACTCTCCCTCAAAGAGGACAGCTGTGACATGTTCATCGGGGCGTCCGGAGGCACCAATGCTGCCCTCACCACGGAAACGCGCGTCGGCGGGGACGCCGAACGGGATGAAGGGACGGGTCAGATCGGACACGGTGCAGTTTTTGGTTCTGTAGTTGTAACGGTACTCCTTGCCCTGGAATAGCCATAATTGGATTATGTTAGATGCTGTTAGATGCTGATACATTCACATACGCATGTGCGCACGCACACATAAAAACGCACGGTCGCGTGCTTGTGTGTGTTTATATGAATGCTTATCATTTCAAACCAAGTAGTATGTCAATGAGGTATGGCAAGAAATAAAATCAAACTTAAACCTTTTTGTCAGGAATATTTTCTTCATTGTGTCTGAAATTTCCCTCAGCTGATTGTACATCTGGTATATCTGAGTGGATTGTCTGGTCCAGACTCGATGATTTACAGACCGCAGCCATTTAGCTGGAGTATAGCTGAGTGCTGCGTAAAACTAAACTCACCCATGCACCAATTACATGGACCGTTTGTCATGATATCAATCACTGGATAGTATGGTCGAGGCCTATTTACAGCCGCCGTCATATAGTTAGATTATTACTCATTGTAGAGTTAAACAACAAACGAGTTGTCTCAAGACCAAGACAAACGGAAAACCATAGACGTGTATACCATTCGCAACTACTCGCTCTCTTTCCGTGGCCTACGGCTTGTCGGAATGACACGAGTAGTTACGAATGACGTATATCGATCAGAGATGCCAACCCATACGATTTTATCGTATTCGTTACGAAAAAATACGCGACTACGATATACGAAATATACGAATTTTACGAATAGCATATGTACCATACACAATAAATTTCAACTACAAGCTATATGCGGATACTTACTACTGATTTAGGTGAGTACAATGTTAATAACAAGTTCTTAGAATATTTTATATATTTTTGTATTAAATATGAAAATCCTTGGGAAAAGTTCATACTAATTTTGGCCAATTAATACTCATTTTAGCATCAGTTATTGGCCAAAATACTAACTGGGCTAAATTAGGGATGGCATCTCTGCGTATATATAATATACGTCTTTGGGCAAACAGAAGGTCAGGGTCACCGTGGATGTTCCAACTGATACGTTACTCACAATGTTGTGGAGGTACAGGACGTCGAAGTAATCGGTGGTAGAGCCGATGTCAATCTCCTCAGATTCCCTAATCCTTCTGTTGTCCTCGTCGTAACTGAAGTGGGCGAAGACGGCAAAGCCACGTGATCGGTCGATCTGATGACGTAGAGCACAAGATATGATGACACATACACATGAAATGTAATCACTAATACCCACGAAATTTATGTTTGAGAAGCGCCTAATTCAACAATGGTGATAAACAATAGCATCCATGACCACTGATGGACAGTTGAAAAGTATAAAATAATATTTTTAAGCTAAATGACATTGTGCATGTTTTACTAAAAGTGTACGGTCGATGTGTAACGATACAATTTGTGGTTAGTTTGTGATTCGATAACCCGTGAAGATCCGGGTTAGAATTGATCTTCAGCAACCCGTGCGTGACGTAAGTAAAGAGGCGATCGACTTACGGGATCGGGTGGTTAGGCTCGCTGACCTGGTTCACACATGTGTAAGTCGATGCTCATGCTGTTGATCATTGGATTGTCTGGTCCAGACTCGATTATTTACAGACCGCCGCCATTTAGCAGGAATATTGCTGAATGCGGCGTAAAACTAAACTCACTCACTTACTCACTTGTGATTCGATACATGATATAAGATAAAAAACAACAACTTGGCATTAATAACATCAGATAAAAATGAATGACGTCAAACACAATCACTTGAGAACGTTTGAGCATGTTTGCCTTATATACACCTAGAAATAAGTTAATCACAAACCCTTATCTATTATAATATATCCCCAATTTATCGTTTAAAAATATCTAAATGTGACACACTGTTTTGAATTGACAAAGAAGCCACCAACAGCTTGTGAAGGGTTTGTTGTACCACATCACTGAAAGTCTTGGACCTGATCATTGTATGTTTCTAGTCGAGTACCAAGTACCAACGAATGATGGCGAGGAGAAGCAAAAGGCAAAATAAATAAATATGACAATAATTGGCATGAAAATATAGAACAGAAAACGACGTCTTTACATAATCAGTTTCTGTTTCTCTATAAGTAAATTTGTAAACAAAAACAAACAAGTTTCGTCAGACCATTATTGCAGGATACATTTTTGATAAATGATTATATTTTTTTTTTAATGTAGTAAGAGCTGCTTAACTCGCCTCCATGTGTATACACACACATGTATCATTATGTATACATCACCTAACGATATTTGGCTTAACGGGTTTTTAAACGATATCATTTCAATGATCTTGATATTTACCACTATCTAAAGGTATGTTTTCTTTTGACCCGCAGTATTATACTTTGTGGAGGTATAGGGCCATGGCTGTACATGTACAGGTATGTGAACATATGACTCTGTACCTATCTGTACATATATATACATGTAACAGTGACCATATGAATACATGACTGGGATTCAGTGACAACACTTACACGGGCAAGTCTGCCTTCGAACTGTCGGGGGCTTTCTGAAAACAAAGTAAGTTTCATATTATGTTTAAAATGTTTCATGGATAAAACAAATATCATTTTTAATCACCACAAGTAGGAGGTGTGGTAAAGACACTGTTCCAATAATGTTGTTATGTTTCAAGCAAATATAGGTCTATATACACCGATGTAGTTCCGTTATGTTTAAATTATTTATAATGACATTATTTAGGTACTAATGAAACAGGGTGTTCTAAATTCATTTTGCTTTTTAGCTTAAAGTAGAATAACAAAAAATACAATTAATTATCGATTAAAGTTCATAAAATAAAGTTTCTGTAACATATTCTTTTAAGTTACCAAGATGTTGTTACTGAGGTCAAAATCTGACCTGACACTTCATGGAATATTCGGGAAAAATTTCTAAACACAATCTTCAGATACGAATGGAATACTGAAATCAAAGTTTGAATATTGAACTCACGGCATGGTCTGGGCTCTTGGGCCAGTACGGCCGTGGCAGAGAGAGCGAGAAGTAAAACTAGCATCGTGACGACTGGTTATGGATCGCAGTGAGTTTGGGTCAACCGTCTGTCGTCTTTTCAACAGCTTTCTTATCTTTTCTTATCAGTGGCGTATAAATTCCCGCACGCAGTCTCTCCGTCACAGATGAGCAAGGTCTTTCTGCTTGAAGGTCGAACAGTTAGACCTAAAGGCTTTGAAATATAATTGTATATATGAACACATTATATAATTCACTCTAAATGAAACGATTAACACACTGGTATGCCTAAAATAATACGTCAAGCCTACCGTTGGCCATGGCGTTTATTTTATTTACATCTTTTCATACACAGTTTAATGCAAGATCGACTCATATCATTATAAGACAACACTGTCGACCGAAGGAGCGAGTATCTCAGTGTTTGACGGTGGTTGAAGGAAACTACCAAGACGTGGTTAACTGATGGCGACGTAACGGTTTGATGTGGGTAGTGATTTGTTCGTCAAATCAATTTTATGTCATTGATATAATTTCTTTCCCCTTGTAGTTTTATGTGCGAGCACAACAGCCCAGCCACCCAAGTACTACTCGTACAACAATGTTGTACATGTGTATATTTAACATTGCATAAAGTTGTACAGTGCTAAGTGTACACTAGTTTACAATATCTGACATTACACCATGGTACAGTGTACCATATTTGGCATTACACTATGCTACACTGTACGCTATTTGGCATTGCACCATGCTACGCTGTACGATATTTGCCATTGCACAATGCTACACTGTCAGATATTTGCCATTACACTATACTACCTCTGTACGATATTTGGCATTAGACCATGCTACACTGTACAATATTTGGCATTAGACCTGCTACACTGTACGGTATTTGGCATTGCACTATGCTACACTGTACGGTATTTGGTATTGCACTATGCTACACTGTACGATATTTGGTATTGCACTATGCTACGCTGTACGATATTTGGTATTGCACTATGCTACACTGTACGGTATTTGGTATTGCACTATGCTACGCTGTACGATATTTGGTATTGCACCATGCTACGCTGTACGATATTTGCCATTGCACAATGCTACACTGTCAGATATTTGCCATTACACTATACTACCTCTGTACGATATTTGGCATTGCACTATGCTACACTGTACGATATTTGGTATTGCACTATACTACCTCTGTACGGTATTTGGCATTAAACCATGCTACGCTGTGCGATATTTGGCATTTCACTATGCTACGCTGTGCGATATTTGGTATTGCACTATACTACACTGTACGATATTTGGCATTAAACCATGCTACACTGTACGATATTTGGCATTTCACTATGCTACGCTGTGCGATATTTGGTATTGCACTATACTACACTGTACGATATTTGGCATTAAACCATGCTACACTGTACGATATTTGGTATTGCACTATGCTACGCTGTACGATATTTGGTATTGCACTATGCTACACTGTACGGTATTTGGTATTGCACTATGCTACGCTGTACGATATTTGGTATTGCACCATGCTACGCTGTACGATATTTGCCATTGCACAATGCTACACTGTCAGATATTTGCCATTACACTATACTACCTCTGTACGATATTTGGCATTGCACTATGCTACACTGTACGATATTTGGTATTGCACTATACTACCTCTGTACGGTATTTGGCATTAAACCATGCTACGCTGTGCGATATTTGGCATTTCACTATGCTACGCTGTGCGATATTTGGTATTGCACTATACTACACTGTACGATATTTGGCATTAAACCATGCTACACTGTACGATATTTGGCATTTCACTATGCTACGCTGTGCGATATTTGGTATTGCACTATACTACACTGTACGATATTTGGCATTAAACCATGCTACACTGTACGATATTTAGCATTGCACTATGCTACACTGTACGATATTTGGTATTGCACTATGCTACGCTGTACGATATTTGGTATTGCACTATGCTACACTGTACGATATTTGGTATTGCACTATGCTACGCTGTACGATATTTGGTATTGCACTATGCTATGCTGTACGATATTTGGTATTGCACTATACTACACTGTACGATATTTGGCATTAAACCATGCTACACTGTACGATATTTGGTATTGCACTATACTACACTGTACGATATTTGGTATTGCACTATGCTACACTGTACGGTATTTGGTATTGGACTATGCTACGCTGTACGATATTTGGTATTGCACCATGCTACGCTGTACGATATTTGCCATTGCACAATGCTACACTGTCAGATATTTGCCATTACACTATACTACCTCTGTACGATATTTGGCATTGCACTATGCTACGCTGTGCGATATTTGGTATTGCACTATGCTACACTGTACGATATTTGGCATTAAACCATGCTACACTGTACGATATTTGGTATTGCACTATGCTACACTGTACGGTATTTGGTATTGCACTATACTACCTCTGTACGGTATTTGGCATTAAACCATGCTACGCTGTGCGATATTTGGCATTTCACTATGCTACGCTGTGCGATATTTGGTATTGCACTATACTACACTGTACGATATTTGGCATTAAACCATGCTACGCTGTACGATATTTGGTATTGCACTATACTACACTGTACGATATTTGGTATTGCACTATGCTACGCTGTACGATATTTGGTATTGCACTATGCTACGCTGTACGATATTTGGTATTGCACTATACTACACTGTACGATATTTGGCATTAAACCATGCTACACTGTACGATATTTGGTATTGCACCATACTCACGCCAGCGATATTTGGTATTGCACTATGCTACACTGTACGGTATTTGGTATTGCACTATGCTACGCTGTACGATATTTGGTATTGCACTATGCTACACTGTACGGTATTTGGTATTGCACTATGCTACGCTGTACGATATTTGGTATTGCACCATGCTACGCTGTAACGATATTTGCCATTGCACAATGCTACACTGTCAGATATTTGCCATTACACTATACTACCTCTGTACGATATTTGGCATTGCACTATGCTACGCTGTGCGATATTTGGTATTGCACTATGCTACACTGTACGATATTTGGCATTAAACCATGCTACACTGTACGATATTTGGTATTGCACTATGCTACACTGTACGGTATTTGGTATTGCACTATACTACCTCTGTACGGTATTTGGCATTAAACCATGCTACGCTGTGCGATATTTGGCATTTCACTATGCTACGCTGTGCGATATTTGGTATTGCACTATACTACACTGTACGATATTTGGCATTAAACCATGCTACACTGTACGATATTTGGTATTGCACTATGCTACACTGTACGATATTTGGCATTAAACCATGCTACGCTGTGCGATATTTGGTATTTCACTATACTACACTGTTAGATATTTGGCATTAAACCATGCTACACTGTACGATATTTGGCATTAAACCATGCTACGCTGTGCGATATTTGGTATTTCACTATGCTACGCTGTGCGATATTTGGTATTGCACTATACTACCTCTGTACGATATTTGGTATTGCACTATGCTACACTGTACGGTATTTGGTATTGCACTATGCTACACTGTACGATATTTGGCATTAAACCATGCTACACTGTACGATATTTGGCATTTCACTATGCTACGCTGTGCGATATTTGGTATTGCACTATACTACCTCTGTACGGTATTTGGCATGAAACCATGCTACACTGTACGATATTTAGCATTCCACTATGCTACGCTCTGCGATATTTAGCATTGCACTATGCTACGCTCTGCGATATTTGGTATTGCACTATACTACCTCTGTACGATATTTGGTATTGCACTATGCTACGCTGTACGATATTTGGTATTGCACTATGCTACGCTCTGCGATATTTGGTATTGCACTATACTACCTCTGTACGATATTTAGCATTGCACTATGCTACGCTGTGCGATATTTAGCATTTCACTATGCTACGCTCTGCGATATTTGGTATTGCACTATACTACCTCTGTACGATATTTGGTATTGCACTATGCTACACTGTACGATATTTGGTATTGCACTATGCTACGCTGTGCGATATTTGGTATTGCACTATACTACCTCTGTACGATATTTAGCATTGCACTATGCTACGCTGAGCGATATTTAGCATTTCACTATGCTACGCTCTGCGATATTTGGTATTGCACTATACTACCTCTGTACGATATTTGGTATTGCACTATACTACCTCTGTACGGTATTTGGCATGAAACCATGCTACGCTTGTAACGATATTTAGCATTGCACTATGCCACGCTGTAACGATATTTGGCATTGCACTATGCTACGCTGTACGATATTTGGTATTGCACTATGCTACACTGTACGGTATTTGGCATGAAACCATGCTACACTATACGATATTTAGCATTGCACTATGCTACGCTGTGCGATATTTGGTATTGCACTATACTACCTCTGTACGGTATTTGGCATGAAACCATGCTACGCTGAACGATATTTGGCATTGCACTATGCTACGCTGTACGATATTTAGCATTGCACTATGCTACGCTGTACGATATTTGGTATTGCACTATGCTACACTGTACGATATTTGGCATTGCACTATGCTACGCTGTACGATATTTAGCATTGCACTATGCTACGCTGTACGATATTTGGTATTGCACAATGCTACACTGTACGATATTTGGCATTAAACCATGCTACACTGTACGATATTTGGCATTTCACTATGCTACGCTGTGCGATATTTGGTATTGCACTATACTACCTCTGTACGGTATTTGGCATGAAACCATGCTACACTGTACGATATTTAGCATTGCACTATGCTACGCTGTACGGTATTTGGCATGAAACCATGCTACGCTCTGCGATATTTAGCATTGCACTATGCTACGCTCTGCGATATTTGGTATTGCACTATACTACCTCTGTACGATATTTGGTATTGCACAATGCTACACTGTACGGTATTTGGTATTGCACTATGCTACGCTGTGCGATATTTGGTATTGCACTATACTACCTCTGTACGATATTTAGCATTGCACTATGCTACGCTGTGCGATATTTTAGC